TTGGGTCAGGAGCCTCCTGGATTAATATGAGGCCTCTTGGGATGCCCCCATGGGGCATCTTGGAATATCTTGGGGGCATGTTCGGAAGCTTTTTGGGGCCTCGTGGCGGCCTCCGTGGGGCTTCTTGGGGGCGTCTTGGAGGCCTCTTGGGGCCCTCTAGGGGCTGTCTGGGGCCGTCTTGGAGGGCCTCTGGGGCTGTCTTTGGGACTTTCTGGGCCGTCATGGGGCCCTTTGGGCCGTCTTGGAGGCATCATGGGCCGACTTTGGATGATCTTATTGGCCACTTGGGCCGTCGTGTTCGCTGTCAAAATGTAATATGCGAATGTGCTGAACATGTACGCTCTTCCACTGGAATTGTTATTTTGGCATCTTGGAGCCCTCTCCGCGATCCTTTGGAGGCTCTCTTGGGCTGTCTTGGAGACATCGTGGGCCATCTTGAAGCCATCGTGGATAGTCATGGGGCTACCCTGGGCCGTCATGACGCTCTCCTCGATTGTCTTTGCGATATGTCTGTGCCCTGAGCTGCCTTGAGGCTTTTGGGGGGGGCTCCAGAGGCCCCAGGGGTGCGTTGACGAGCTCGTCCCCCCCCCGCCCCTCCTCCTAACTTGGCATCGCCTGGACGTGTGCATTTTTCCTTCGGCGAGGACCATCGAGGAGCATCCTTGATCATTTGGCGAAAAAACCACGCACGAAACCGACGAAAGCACAGGGAATGGACGTCCGAGCGATGGCCAGCTAAGCCCTCCTCGTCGTCCCCCTCTTCTTCCTCGGGGCTCGAAGTGCAGGATGGCGCAGTGGGCGTGTGGGGTCGCCCTCCTCCGATCCCTACAGCCTCAAGCTGCTACGCCATACTTCGAGGTCCTCTCTCACTGTCCGTCACCACCCACCAAACCACCCCAAAACCCAACCCGAAGGCCTCAAATTGCCCTCCATTTCCAGTGGGGGGGGGTCGGGGAACGTTGAAAAAACACACGGAACCCGTACCCCCCCCTAACCCGAAATTCTGGTCGAATTCGGGCCTTCGGGTTGGGTTGGGGTTGTCTGGTAGGTAGTCAGTTCGGGCCAAGCGGCTCGAACTACTCGTCCTCGTATTGCGGCTTGGACTCTGGCTCCGGCAATTGCCGAGCGTCTCGATGGGGCTCACCAAGTTTCCAGGGAATCCACGCTCAAATTCCGCGTCAGCCCGACGTGGGTGATGACCATGCCATGGTTCGAAGATCGAGAGCGTTACAAGTTCAGCCCACTGCCATTATCTGCCTGCGTAGTTCGCACAGCAGCATACGAGTATATCCACATGAATAGCCGCACTCGCGGTGGCGATTCAATGACTATTTGGGTCAATCGGGTCAGGGGGATTTGGGTTAGCCCCGGCCCCTCCCCAAAGGCGGCCACGAGGGTGTCCAGGTGCCGTGCAAAGAGATGTGGCCAGGCATAGGGGAACAGGCAGTAACGCGAACATAAAAACTCCGAGGTCCTCGGCCTTCTCGGATCGGCGCTGGACTCCCCCCCTGGCGCACGGAGCGCGCCAGGGGCGGCGCCGGAGGCGCCACCAAGGGGCCCCAGGAATCCGCGCGGACCTCCGAGTCTTTATGTCTATGTCACCTGGCATCGCTCGGACGTGTGCGTTTTTTTCTTCGGCGAGGACCATCGAGGAGCATCCTCGATCATTTGGCGAAAAAACCACGCACGAAACCGAAAAAACACAGGGAGTGGACGTCCGAGCGATGGCGAGGTCATTGTTTGTTCCCCCAGATGTGGCCAGACATGGTGGCTCCCAAGCTCGAAACCTGTGGCCTTCTCCTCCTCCGTCTTTCTAATGCCCCCCACACACACACATCCTCCCGTGAGGGCGACCCATCCTTCTGTGCGCAAGGCCAGGCGCGGAAGGGGGGGAGGGGGAGGAGGAGCGCGAAGAGGAGGAGGAGGAAGAGGCGGAGCAGGAAAAGCTTGGCCTAAATGCCCGCCCAACGAGAAAAAAGGAAGAGGTAGGGATGATGATAGTGATGCTGATGATGCTGATGATGTTGATGATGCTGTCGATGGTGATGGTGATGATGATGATGATGATGATGGTGATGGTGATGGTGATGGTGATGATGATGATAGTGATGTTGATGATGGTGGTGGTGATAGTGGTGTTGGTGGTGATGGTGATGGTGATGGTCATGATGATGATGCCGATATTGATGGTGGTGGTCGTGATGATAATGATGATGATGAAAAAGAAGGCGAAGATGGTTATGATGATGAGTATGATGATGATGATGATGATGATGATGATGATGATGATGATGATGATGATGATGATGATGATGATGATGATGGGATGTGGAGGAAGAGGAGGAGGAGGAGGAGGAGGAGGAGTTTGTTGAGGTAGAGAAGCAGGGGGGTGAGGTTGAGGAGCAGGGGGAAGCAGGGGGAGGGAGGAGGATGAGGAGCCGTCCGGTCGGCCCGTCTTGGTTCGTTCTGGGAAGAGGACAACCACTTGATGATCTTGTGCGCGTTCTTCTTCCTCCTTCTCATTCTGGTCGCGCCGCCGCTGCGCCGCCACGCTGCGTGTAAAACATTTGCGGTCATCCTCCTCCTCATGTTCATTCCGTCATCCGCTCGCATCCTTGTTCCTTGTCCCAAAGTCTCCTCCCTCCTCACGAGGTAATAGGCAATTCCTCGCAAGTACATTTTGGACGACAGTGCGCCGGGGGAGCCTACTCACAGACGGGACGGTGATATCAACGGCGCAACGTGGGCACACACAGCGAAAACATATCATATCATAAAGTTGGAGTACGGAGAAACAGCTCGTAACTACGGCATGAGATCATGCCAGTGTTTTACCGAGAGCAACGGCTCGTCACGTCCCGCCTAGATTGGCGCGGCTCTACTCGCAGTCCTAGATCTGGTGGGACGTTCACTCGCTCGAGGAGGGGAAGAACTGAGGAGGATTCATGCAATCATGCACGCTCATGTCGCCCTGAGGTGTTTTGGTGCTACGGTTCTCGCTGGCGACCGTTGCAGGGCCGATGTTCTGGCATTCCGACGATGATCATGGCGGCTACGATAGCGACGACGACGACGACGGCAATGGCGAGACTGACGACGACGACGACCACGACCACAATGCTGATGATGATCAGATGATGATGATGATGATGATGATGCTGATGCTGATGCTGATGCTGGTGATGTGGTGATGATGATGATGACGATGACGATGATGATGATGATGGTGGTGATGCTGATGCTGATGCTGATGCTGATGCTGATGATTATGATGACCATGGTCATGATCATGATCATGGTCATGGTCATGATGATGATGCTGATGATGAAGATGCTGATGGTGTTGGTTCTGGTGGCAGGGGTGCAGCGCAGCCCGTGCCGCCAGGCTGGCGGCGCCGCCTCTGGCCGCTCTCCCGCGGCGCGGCCCACCGCCCACTGCGCGATGGCTTCGGACCCGGAGGCAAACGGAGGGCCTTGGCATCGCTCGGACGTGTGCGTTTTTTTCCTCGGCGAGGACCATCGAGGAGCATCCTCGATCATTTGGCGAAAAGACCACGCACGAAACCGACGAAAGCACAGGGAATGGACGTCCGAGCGATGGCCAGCGCTGGCCTTCTCCCCACGAGGAGAGGAGGCCAGCGGCGCCAGTGCAGGGCGGGCAGGCCCCCTCTCGCCCGAAGGACCCGGGAGAGGCTTTGGACCACGCGACCGAGAAGTGACACGGCACGACGACGAGCGACGGACGGCAACGAAACGGCAGGGGGGAAGACGGACCGCCGCTCCTGCCCCGAGGCTTCGAGTGCTCGGAGTGAACTCCCGCAACGCCCTGGGGGAGGGTCCCAAAGGGCGCGCGGGCGTTCCCTCCCGGAGAACCCCGCGGCCCCCTGGGGGAGGAACGCCCGGTCGCGGGGGCTTGGCCCGACACCTCGCTTATGGGGGTGCCCCTCCGGGGCTGGTGATGGCGCTGGTGATGTTGGTTTTGTTGTTGATGATGGTTGTGGTGGTGATGGAGATGGTGATGGTAATGGTGATGGTGGTGGTGATGATGATGGTGATGCGTATGTAGCTGATATTCAGAGTGATGGTGATGTGGATATTGATGTTGATGATGATGATGATGATGATGATGATGATGATGATGATGATGATGATGATGATGATGATGATGATGATGGTGGCGATGGTGGTGATGGTGCTTATGGTGATGGTGCTTATGGTGATGATTACGATGATGATGATGATGCTGATGATGATGATGATGATGACGATGATGATGATGATGATGGTGGTGGTTGTGGTGGTGGTGGTGGTGGTCGTGATGATGGTGGTGATGATGATGATGGTGATGAAGATAATCATGATCACGACGGTGACCATATGTCGATGACGATACGACGATGGTGAGGATGAGTAAATGTTTGATGATGGGGGTAGTGGTGGTTATAACGATGAAGGTCATGACCATGGTCGTTGTGATGGCGGGGAGGATGGGGAGGACGAGGAGGATGAGGAGATGGAAGAGTTGGAGGAATCGAACGGAGGAGGGGGAGGAGGAGGAGAAGGAGGAGGACGAGGAGGCGAACAAGGGAGGTGGAGGAGGCGGACAGGGGAGGCCCACTCCTAGGGCCAATTCATCGCGGGCTCACTTTTGATGTCACTTAGGACTGAGACAGTCCCCTGGACACCGAGGTCCAAGATCTGAAACAGCACAAACCGTGAATTGTTGCCCCGGCAGAAAAGGTTGTTGGGAGGCGGTTGGACCACAGTTTTGATGAAGGTCCCTTGAGGCAAGCGATCGTTGGTTCCCTCGGTTCTGGGCGTGCTTGTCGATCCGCCTGCCCCCTTGATCCGAGAGGACCCCAGACTTGCCGCTGGTTGGGCGCCCTCGTATCCTCATGCCTTGTCTTTGTGGTGACGGTCCACCACAACACGTTACAAGCCCCGTGGGTTGTGTTCCACGCTCGTGGTGCCGCCACCACGGAGGTCCCCGCCACGTTCATATGCTACTACCAGCGGACCAAAAACTACGCCCAGAACGGCGTGATGATCGAGACGATGCAGTTCATGGGGCGCGCGCCCGGCAGCTTCCTCATGCCCCCTCATTCCTGTTGGTCCTCCTCTTTACCTCCTCCGCCCGGCCCCCCTCCCTTCCTCCTTCCCTCCACCCTCCTTCACCTCCGTTTCTCCTCCCCCATCCTTCTCCGCATCTTCTCTCGTCATGTTCTCCTCCCTCCTCTCTCATCCCTCTCTTTCCCTCCGCCTCCCTCTTCATCTCTCCTCTGTCCGCCCTTCTCCATCATTCTTCTCCCCCTCCTCCCCCTTTCTCCCGTTCTCATCCTGTTCGTTCCATTATAAGCGTACCTTCCTCCTGTGTCCATCCGTCGTATCCCTCCTATCTCGTTCTTTGCTCTCCACCCTCTTACCTCCTCGTCGTCCTCCCTCCTCCTCTTCCTCCTCCTCCGCCGCCTCCTCCTCTTCCTCCTCTTCTTCCTCCTCCTCCTCCTCCTCCCCCTCTTCCTCCTCCCTCGTACTCGCTTCTCCTCGTCATCCTCCCTTGTCCGTTCTCGCATTTCTCCCTTCTCTTCATCCCCATCTTTCTCGTCCTATAGTCCTCCCAGCTCCCTTCTCCACACCGCGATCTGGGTTTGCAGTCCCAGGAGGGTCGTGTTGTCCCCCAAGCCCGTGGTGGCATTGCCAATGTCGGGCAACCAACAGGCATTCCAGAGAGAAACGAACAGCATGCGGAATCGGCTAGCCTTTGACCACCCGGGCTAAGGCCGAGAGTTGAGCAGGCCCTACGGTTGGTTGCCATTCGCAACCGTGGCAGGGCACTGAGCACAGTAAAACCTCTTCGCTGTGATCCCCGGTCGCCCCTAACATGAGAGAAACGAACCACCTTCGACCGCCGGGGCCGTCGAAGGTCTGGTCACATGAAGATGCGTGGCTTCCATCGGAGGTCCTCGGTGGTCTCGGGAGGTCCCCCGAGGCCACCATCCCGACATTCTCTGCCCTGACGTCGCCGATGAATTTGCCATGCAGTGTGACCATCCGACCCCATCTGTTGCGGCCCCAGAAGCAGGAGTCGATCTGATTGGACTCTGCCCGCTGTTGATTGGGACCCATGATGTCTGATGATGTGGCAGTTGATTGCTGTTGCGGTGTTGCCGTCAGGCGGTCATGATGATGAGGAGGATAATGATAACGATGGTGGTTAGCGATGATGGTGGCAGCTTGTGCTGACACTGATGGCGGTTGTTGCAAATGTTCAGCCGTTATCGTCAAGAGAACAGTCAAGAGCGGTGGGCGTGGCAAGCGTGCTGGGCGAGGGGCAGGCGTGGCAGTGGCCGGCTCTCTGTTCCCCTGGCTGGCACGTGCGCCCAAATCATTGCCAATGGCTGCAATTGTCAGCGCCTTACAGTCGGGGCCCTGAGGAAGGAACCCTTTTCGTTGGGGAGGGGCTCCGCGTTCCTTGAGTGTTTCGCAGCTTGCCTCAGGCTTTCCTGATGTTTTCGATCGGAAATCGAAGTTAACTTATGGAAACAAGGGGCCTCGTTCCTTATTTAGGGTTCCTTAGGTCAAGGCCCCGACTGTAGTATGCTTATCAAACTGGGGCTCTTAAGTGGCCATCTCACCACCCCCTGTTGCGGTAGCAGCGCTTGTTCCACCAGAAGCTGCGTTGCCACCATTTGGTGCGGTGTCCGTCTCGTGAGGTACATGTTCAGGTTTAGGTAGGCGTGCCGCCATTCTTGGCCTTAGCCTTGGGGTTGGCTTGTCCTTTGGCCGTTGGGTTTCTTGGCTTCTCTCCAGCCCATCGTCACGTGCGCGGCTGTTTGCAAGCTTCGCGTCCGCGGCCCGGTTCGGCCTCAGATCGTCAGGCGGTATGCCAAGTTTGTTTGCGCAGCATGCGTGATGACAGACAGACAGACAGACAGACAGACAGAGACAGACAGAGACAGAGAGCTGGCCGCAAAATGTTGCAAGGTGACAGGGTTGTTTTGTTCGAAGCACCGGGTTTCTTCAAGAGGCAAGGTGTGGCAAGGTTGCAATGTGGCAATATGCGCCCAAGTAAAGCACCCCCTTCAGGTTTCTTCAGGAGCTTCTCCCTTCCACCATGGACATCGGAGAGATGTCGGTGGTTGCCGCAGGTTGGCCATGTGTGTTGGGCACCGCTGGCTGTACAGCTGGTATGCCCCCACCGATCGATCCGATGTTGCACCGCGACGATCGATTATAAGTTGGAGTTCGCCGCCGTCAAGTCGAGGCCGCGTAGATAGTCATGTAAGCCAAGATGGCCGGTCGCGATTGGAATAATGTGTTCTTGAGGGCGCACAGAAACGGGCGATGACTGTTTTCTGATTCATTGTTGTGCCGATCGGCGCGGGCCCTCGCCCCCCCCCCCATGGAGTAGATCTTGTTTGTTTTGGCGCCTGTTCCAAGCAGGTGGAGCAAGCACGGGGGCTCCACCTCCCCAACTTCTGGTGGACACGTGAATCGTTGTTT